GTTGATAATCACGACACGGAGGAGTGCTTTACCTTGAAACGCGAGATTGAAAGACTGATCCAAAGGGGCCATCTGAGTAACTTCGTCAAAGGGGCTGCACAGCAGCCCAACCATGTATGGCGGAAATCATCAGAACAAGTGGCATGCACGCAGCCGGAGACCCGAAGGGTAGAGAAAAGACACATTGGAAATGAGAGTGACGAGGATGCCTCGGATGAGCCAGGGCCGAAGCGAGACAAGAGGAACCATGACATCAATTTCATTTGTGGAGGTAATGCAGGCGGGGACTCTTCGTCCCTTCGAAAGAAATGGGCTCGTCAACTGTACATCGGTGAGATCATGCACTCTCCAATGAAAAAGAAGGTACGACGTGAACCTATATGCTTTACTGATGATGACCTACCACCATGTCCAAGCCCACATCGGGATGCCATGGTTATCAAAATGGAGATCAATGATCTTGTCATACACCATACCCTGGTCGACACTGGAAGTTCCGTTAACATAATGTACCTCGACACTTTCGAGAAACTGAAGTTGTCCAAAGGAAAACTCCATCCGATAAAAACCCCATTATCTGGGTTCACGGGTGACTCTATCGAGGCAGAGGGAGTTGTACCGGTCCCGGTGGAGGTGGGGGACACGTCCCATAAAGTGAAACTCAACATGGAGTTCGTAGTTGTCCGACTGACATGTGCACATAATCTCATACTCGGACGGCCAGGCCTGGAAGATTTGCAGTGCATTGTGTCCCCGGCACATCTTTGTATTAAGTTCCCAACACCAACCGGAGTGGGGATAGCACGCGGGAGCCAGAAGCTCGCCCGAACATGCTACATAAAAATCACAAAGAAGGTGGGGCGGCATGGCCTCCAGGTAAACAATGTGGCCACACAATACCTACAAGATGAAGAGCGAAGACCCCGTGCTGAACCAGCAGAAGGGACAGAAGAGGTCACCCTTGACCCTGCAACCCCAGAGCGCAAGGTTAAGATAGGCACCGGATTGTCAGCTGAGCTCCGCGCTGAGGTCATAACCGTCCTGACTATGTACCAAGGCATATTTGCAAGAGGACCAGAGGACATGCCGGGCATCAGTAGAGATGTCATCTCTCATCGCCTAGATGTGAACACTATGTCAAATCTGGTGAAACAAAAGAAACGTTACATGTCCTCGGACAGGCGGGAATTCGTAAGGAAAGAAGTGGGCACCTTGTTAAAAATCGGCCACATCAAGGAGGTAAAATACCCAGAATGGTTTGCAAATGTGGTATTGGCACCTAAACCCCCAACGTGGAGGATGTGTGTGGATTACACTGACCTAAACAAGGCATGCCCGATGGATCCATTCCCATTGCCTAACATCGACCAATTGGTGGACGAGACAGCAGGGTGCGAGTTGATGAGTTTCATGGATGCTTTCAGTGGATACCACCAAATTCGCATGCATGAGGAGGATGCGGAGAAAACCTCATTCATGACTCTAGAGGGTGTTTTCTGTTACTTAGTCATGGCGTTTGGACTGAAAAACTCTGGGGCAACGTACACTCGCATGATCTCTAAACTTTTTCGACCTGTCCTAGGCCGCACCATGGAGGCCTACGTGGATGATATGATTGTGAAGAGTAAAAGAGCAGGTACGCATGCCGTGGATTTGGCAGAGGTGTTCAAAATCATGGAGAAGTTCAATCTTCGTCTCAATCCAAAGAAGTGCACGTTCGCCGTGCAGGGAGGGAAGTTCCTGGGTTACTTGGTAAGCAGAAGAGGAATCGAGCCAAATCCGGAGAAAGTCAAGGCCGTTCTCGAAATGGAACCTCCTCGTAATGTCAAAGAAGTACAGCGATTGACGGGACGCTTAGCGGCTTTGAACCGCTTCTTATCAAAACTAGCAGAGAAAGCCACGCCATTCTTCCACATCATGAAGAAATCAAAGGGTTTCGTATGGACTGAGGAGTGCCAAAAGTCATTCGAGGGATTGAAAAACTACCTCTTGTCTCCTCCTGTCTTGTCCAAACCTGAGGCGGGGGAGACATTATACCTATACCTAGGGGTTTCACCAAGTGCAATTAGTTCTGTCCTGGTGCGTGAAGATGATGGCGTCCAGAGACCCGTTTACTACGTAAGCAAAACTTTGAGGGACGCTGAGCTACGGTACACAACCATAGAAAAAACTGTTCTATCCGTGGTGTGGACGGTCAAACGGCTAACACAATACTTCCAAGCTCACCCTGTCCATGTACTGTCACACCAACCCCTGGGTGCCTTAATGAGAAGTCTCACGGCTTCCTCGAGGATGGTCAAATGGGCAGTGTATCTAAGTCAATTTCATATAGAGGTGAAGCCAAGACCTTCCATCAAGGGGCAAGCTCTTGCAGATTTCATAGTAGAATGCACAGCGCGGGAGGAAGCAACGAAGATGAAGCATGGCGACGATGAACAAGAGTGGTGGATATTGTCCACGGATGGCTCCTCCGCGGCCAAATCTTGCGGGGGAGGGGTGGTCCTCACCACGCCCGAAGGCTTCAGGGCCTATTACGCTATCCGGTTCAACTTCAAGGTGTCGAATAATGAAGCAGAGTACGAGGCTCTACTATGTGGCCTACGCTTGGCGGCGAACATGAGGGCGGAGAAGGTCAAGATACGGTGTGATTCAAAACTAGTGGTTGGACAGATCACGACTGAGTTTGAGGCGAAGGAAGAACGGATGCGGCTATATCGTGACGCTGCCCTGGAACTTCTGAAATTGTTCATCGCCTATGAAATTGAACAGATACCAAGAGCGCAAAATGTCGAAGCAGACATGTTATCCAAATTAAGTGCAGAGACACCGGAAAGGATTTCAAAGATTGCAAGGATAGAAGAGTTGGACACTTCCAGCATATATGCATGCCCTGTCCAGGCCATAACCACGAGGGACGCGGACTGGATTGACTCCCTCATCAAGTATATCAACGAGGGAGTGCTGCCCGCGGAGGAGGTTGAAGCCAAGGTGACTAAGATGAGGGCGCCGAGTTATACCATTTTGAATGAGAAACTGTACAAGAGGTCTTACAATGGCACGCTTCTCAAGTGCTTACGACCAGATGAAGCCAAGGTTGCCATGGAAGAGATACATGCAGGGATATGCTCAGCTCACCAAGGAGCACACACCATGTCCCGAAAGGTAATCCTACAAGGTTTCTTCTGGCCAACCATAGTTAAGGATTGCGCTGAATTTGTCAAGAGGTGTGTGGTGTGTCAAAAGTTCCAGAAATCTCCGGGACGTCCAGCCACCAACTACACCCCCATTAGCACGGCTATACCTTTTGCACGGTGGGGGATAGATCTCATTGGTGCCTTACCAAGGGGAACAGGGAGCGTGAGATGGGTTATCGTTGCCATAGACTATTTTACTAAATGGATAGAAGCAGTACCCCTAGCAAGCATCACTGAAGGGCAATGCAGAAAATTTGTCATGAAGCACATCCTTTGTCGCTTTGGAGTACCCCAACAGATCATAACCGATAATGGGAGGCAATTCGGAGCATCCGGGTTTAACGAATTCTGTGAGAGTTGGGGGATCAAACACAGCAATGCGTCAGTTGCCTATCCCCAAGCGAATGGCCAAGTGGAGAATGCAAACCGCACGATCATGGACGGTTTGAAGAAAAAACTGGAAGTTGCCGGAGGGGAGTGGGCTGAAGAACTACCACAGATACTCTGGGCATACAGGACCACACCAAGAAAGGCCAGAGGGGAGACACCATTCGCCTTGACATATGGTTTCGAGGCGAGGGCACCTGCGGAAGTAATTCTCCATAGCCGCCGAGAAGAGGAATATGACCCCGAGACGAACGAGGAGGTCATGGCGACCGAGCTTCTTTTTATTGAAGAAAGAAGGGAAGCGGCTTTCTGTCGTGCGGAGAACTATAGAAGGCAGGTGAAGGGATACCATGATTCTCGAGTTCGCAAACGCAACTTTGAAGTTGGGGACTATGTCTTGAGAAAAAGGGAGGTCAGCAAACCCTTGGAAGGGGGGAAATTTGCCAAAAATTATGAAGGCCCTTACGTGATTAAATCAGTGATCCGTCCAGGGACGTTCAAACTCCAGACGTCGAAGGGAAAAGAAATTGAGAGGACTTGGAACGCAGAACACTTGCTCAAGTTTTACCATTGAAAATTTATCATTGATACTCCACCTGATGATTATGATGTATGGTAACCACGTATGGTGGTAAATGCGGTCCTTTTCCATCCACGGTTTTTCAAATAAGAGATCTCCTTGATCCACACAAGAGTGAATAATGGCAGTCCCTGGCCGCAAAAAAAAAAAAAAACATGGTGTCGTTCAAAGACACTGTGGGTGTCAAACTCACCCAAAACAAAAACAAATTACAAGGTGTCATCCAAGGACATCGTGGGTGTAAAACTCACCCAAAACAAAAAAAAATGAAATAAAAAAAACTAGTAAGTAGCCAGGCATGTCTCCTATGACATAGCTGAAATTCTCAACACGCAAGGGGTATAGACTCGCCCCTAGAAAGGGGACGAGGATACATCACAAATCGATCCCAACAAATGCGTAACCCTCAGGGTTGTATGGTCAGGATGCATCTGTGAAATATATCGGATAGCGGCCATGTTTCCCAAAAAACATTGTGTGCCCCAGAGCAAGCCTAAGTCACTCAAGTGTTAGGTTCGCTCACTTAGTCCTATTTTTTGGGAATAAGTGATGCGCGCAATGTAGCGAAGGAGGAGGTGTCAACGACACCTTGTGCCTATCGTTGTCCTCAGTCACTCTATCTAAATGCACAATGCCTCAATTGAAAATTAGGCAGATACGGGGCGATAAATGCACCAAAGTTATACACTTGGTGTAGTATCACCGTACACTACTATAAATGATCACACAAACCATGCCAAACAAGGCATGGTCACCGCGCGGTCTCATAAAACCTAAATGTTGGTCAAATAATTAATTATGCGATAATACTAAACAATAACGAAAAGAAAATAAGACATGCATCATTATTATTTTATGAAATTCAAAACATGTTTAGCAATTCAGGTACTCATAATTGAAGACATGACAGAATTAAAGTCTACACTACGTCCATCCGTCACTCCCATGCATGCTCTAAGGCACAGAAGCAGTCGAAGCTGGGTGATCTGTCTCGGAAGGAAGATCGCCAAGCTCCTCATCAGTGGGGAGTCTGTCAAAAGGAATATAGTCCAGGGGCGTGTTGGCTACCGGGATCTCAGGGTTGGGAACCTCAGGAGGAAGTCCCCAATTAGTGATGCAAGAGGTACCAGCCTTATCCCTCAAGATAGGATATATTTTCTGTTGAGTGGCATATATCCCGATCTGGTAGGAGATGTAGCTCTCTAAGGCCAGTTTCTCACGACCTTCCGGAGTAGACAACCAATGCTTGCTAATATCGTTCAAGTGGGCATTAATGTATGCTTCCTGATCAGACACGAACTCTGGAGAATTCTTGTATGCATCCACGGTCCGCCCCCTTGCATTGGCCAACTCCACGGTGTGCATTTCTTTAAGCGCAGTGACCTCGGCTGCATGTGAGTCACGCACGAGCTTGAGCGATGCCACCTCCTTCGCTAATTCGGTGAGTTGTAGCGACAAATCTTTCTCGCGCTCATCTTTCCTTCGGTTCACCTCGGAGATGGACAACAGTAGCTACAAAAAAAAAAAATTAGTATCACGAGATGCATAAATAAAAGGTAACGGGGAAATGGGGGGGTTACCTCGGCCAGGCCATGGTGGCTCCTCTTCTCTAAAGCAGCATGGTCAAGTGTTGAAATTTTCTCCTTCTCAGTCGCCGTGATCACCTGTGATAAGAGCGGAGGTAACTCAAGGTTACCTTGTAACCAAGTAGTCATCCCCGCCGTGGGAATATCACTCATGCTACGGGTGACGCGGGCTGCGGGGCTAGCGGCCCTGCGTTTTGCAATGGATGAAGGCACAGTTACAATGGCATCCTTGCCTTTTGTGACGGAGGGAACCCTTGGTTTCTTGTCAGAGCGCCCCTGATCAGTACCGGGAGGCCCATCCTGGTCAAAGCTTTGGAACATCTCCAGCCGCGATGTCATATCTGCAAAAAAGAAAAAAAAAAGGTATGCATATGTGTTTGTTAATATATATGCGTGTATTATCTCCTATAGACAAGGTAACTGTGGACAACCTTGATCCGTGGACGTGGATGCGTGTGCACCCGAACATGGTGACGGCGAATAGAGTCCAACCGTGGTCAGGCGGTCCTCGGAAGTAAAGGCAGAGAGGCTATACGGTCCTCCAGAAAGAATCATAGCCGGCCATGTCTCCTGGTCAAATGGAAGTTTCGGGTACGAATACTTCTTAAATCGACAATTCAAAGACGATGAAAAAGGTAACGGAGATCCAGACGACACATAGACAAATTCTTCTTTCCAATTGGCTTCGTTGCTACGAGTGATCTTCCACATGTCAAAGTGGTTGCGCTGAGAGATAGACACCCAGGACAGACTATCAGATGCCGAGCACTGCCCAGCTCGGAACATGTGCTTGAAGAGGTCTAGGGACGGTTCAATCCCAAGTGTCTCACACCGGACCAGGAAAGCTACCAGATACTGATGACCGAGCGGAGTCAAGTGACAAGGTGAAATTTCAAGATCATTTAAAAACTCGATAATCAAAGGGTGTGTGGGAAAGCGGAATCCTAATTTTATGGAAAGAATATGCACCCCGAAAAAGTGACCCTTAGGAGGATCGGTTACAATATCCTCCGAATCGGGACATCGGACAGTCACTGTGGACGGAAAAAATTTCTTATACTTTTGAAACTTGGAAACTGAGAGGCACGACCTGTAGTGTAAGATGGGGCTCGGGTCTAAGGGTGGATACGGACCACGGTAGCGACGTTTTGGTGGTTTGACTGAAGCGGCTCGTGGCTTTATGGGACTAATTTCTTCAACATCAGAATTAACATCTGCCCAAGGATGAGGAAAATTTTCCAACACTAATTCCCCGTCACCACTGAGCAATTCATCAGAGTCTATGGAGTCCAGTACATCCATAAGGTATTAACAGCTAAAATATTATGCAAAAAAAGCAAGAGAAAAATCAGCCACTGATTATAAAAAAAAAATACGTATATCAGTCATTAGATATTAAAAAAAAAATGAAAAGGATGTCATTACAGTTGATAGCAGAGGAGCTATGTTTCAAAGCCAAAATTAATACTAGTAGTAAACGGGTAACAAGGGTATAGCCGAGGCAGCTATGGTCAAGACAAAACTAAAATATTTCTTTACTATCTGGGGAAAGAAATCAATTCAAAATTAAAGGAAAGAAGACAAAAGGGAGACAGTGCTTACCTACGTATTGTGCGGTGCAAAATCTAGAGCAAGATAACGATGACGGCTGAATCGGGATGGACAACCAGAGCAAGATGGTGACGGCGCAGGTGCTGGACGGCGACGACGAACAGTCCTCGGTGTCGCCGGAATGTTCTGGTGCTCAACGGAAGGCCGACGGCGACAGAACACATCACCCAAGAGGGCCTGCCGGCTGCACAGGGGCGGCAACTGAGAAAAAGAAACGAAGAAGAAGGGTTGTGACCTGAAGTAAAGAACAACTCACAAACGGTGCTGGATTCGGCCACGAAGGTTCAATGGCCGGTGGCAGTTCGGTGATTCCTCTGGCTCGCGACGGTCGGTGGAAGCTGATGAGAAGCAAGGGCAGAAAGGAATTCTAAGTAGGCTTGCTGGTTGCGCGAAGGGACGCCGGCGGACAGTGGACGACGGAGGCTTGGTTGCCGGCGAGCTGCGGTCTGGACAGAACAGCTATGGCGGTGGTTGACCCTTATCAACGAAGCTGCCAGGGAAGAAGTAAAATTGGGAATATGAAATACAAATTCTGGTTAAAAATAAAAAATAAAAATCTAAATGATTGAATGAGTAAAAAAAAAACCAAAATTGACATGGTGACCATGTCTTCCTATAGCCACGGCAACTGTGTCTCTATACTCCCTATAGCCAATATGCTATTTGGCTTAGGGAGTGGGGGGGCTTATGATGGTATAATTATCCCAACCATGGATAAACGGATTAAGAGTTGATGTGCACGGTAACTATGTACGGATGATGATAAGGTATAAGAAGAGCTCGTACGTGGTGACCGTGGGCGGGTTCGGAGATAAAAGACTGTACATGACGACTGTGGACAAGAGTTAGTAGAAGATCAGGGAGTACAGAGTAACTGTGGATGTCATTGTAAGCCTATCTAGAGAGCATGTCCACAGCAACCATGGACGCGATCAAGTACCTTAGCCAGAGGAGCGTCCACAGTGACCCTGGACATAGTAGTAGAAGCTTATCTAAACAATATGTACATGGTGTCTCTGGACATCATGGCAGAAGCTACATGGCGACTCCGTACGACAAACTACATCAGCGACGTCTTTTCAAGATATTCACAATCAACAAAGGATTCTGCGGATCCGGGTTATTGATTTGCATATCAATTCGAACATGGCGACCACGTCGCCCGAATCTTTTATGTCTTATTTTCTACTATAAAATCATGTAATCTTTGGAAAGTTAATCAAGCTAAATACACTGAATACACTACATACATTTATCTCTCTAAAGATTATCCTGAGCACTTTAATTATTTTCGGCTATCTCTTATTAATTATTTTCCGGTGGATTTACTTCCATCAGAACTAATTTGGATTGAATTAAGCCATACTTCAATCCAACTTAAATCGAATCGAATTGAAAAAAACTAAGTTTTGGGGTAAAACGTTGTTGCCCAAACATTGCTTATTGTGGTGATCCTTCATGAATACTCACGCTAATCACATTGCGGATTTGTGGTGATGCATTATGACATTTTGTACAAAAGATTCTAAACACATTTTCTTCCAAATATTTATTTTATTCTCACAAATACAACACAAAAAATACTAATATACATCAATATGAAAGATTTTTATATGTCATCCCTACATTCATTATGAATTAGTTGAAATTGACCGAATCAAATGATTATGAAACTTATGAAGTCCTAACTTAAGTGATTGAATTGACTAGTTTTTCTTATTTATGAAAAAGTTATATTCAAAACAGATTTTATTAATAAAATAAATAAAAATATGCGAAAATAGCTAAAGTAGTCTTGTACAGTAACTCCAGTAACTTATTTTGATTATTACATAATTCGGTGAATGAAATAAAAAGTTACGTGTTTAGTGGAAAGTTGTCTAACAATGTGATAGCCAAAAAATAGAGTCACCAAACGTGTTCATACACTAAAATGCTGAAAAATGGTGTGATTAAAAGTTGCAGATATGTCAAAGTAAGAATAAAGTTCCACAAACTTCTTCCCAGTTTGACTTGTATCGAAGTTTTAAAAGTGAAAATATACGATCATAATTGAGTAAGAAAAATATAAATGTATGTTAGATATATAAAACTATCAGAAGAAACAAATGGGAAGAAAAGAAACACCTGCACAAGTAGCTCAGTTACGTTTGGTTTAGTGGTGGGAAATTTGGAACAATTACCAAGGATCGAAACTCGCAGCGGTCGTGTGGAGGTTACAGATCATGCGTGCTGGGTTGGATCTCTGGCGCGCACGGGTATAAGGTCTACCGCCATTAGACAGATTGAGTCATTGTGACTTACTCCTCCATCATGCTGTTGAATTGGAGTGTGGGGCTCATGGGGTGGGAGATTCCAACTTTTGGAAGAACAGGAAGAAAAGAGAAGTGGAACAGACGGAGTACTCAATATTTATTACTCTGTATTACTATGTATACTACCTTTGTCCCAATTTACTCAGCCATATTTGACTTTTCCAATAAAAAATGATTAATTTTGACCAATTATTTTAACTAATATATTTATGAAAAATTTAATAATTTCATACTTTTATGATAATATTTTTAACAAAGAATATTTTCATATCATCTTCATATTATCAATATTTTCTCTATATAAACATATAATCGGTCAAAATTAGACATCATTGATTTGAAAAGTAAGTTTAACCAAGTAAAATGGGACAGCGGCCATTGATTTGAAAAGGGGATAAGTGTCAGTTTGGTCCTCGAAGTTGCAAAAAAGGGGGTCAAATAAGTCCTTATATAGAAGTTTCTGTCCGGACGTGCCATTTGAGGTGGCTCCCGGTGGAATTTTTTGATGAAATTTTTTGAGCATCTTATTCATTAAGTCTAGTTTACTCATACCAAATTTCAGATAAAAATTCAATGGGGAAGACATTCAAATGAATTCTTGAAGATAACTGTGCCGTTAAAAGCGTTGTTATCTTCAAGAATTCATTTGAATGTTTTCCCGATTGAATTTTTAGCTGAAATTTGGTATGAGTAAACTAGACTTAATGAATAACATGCTCAAAAAAATTTATCACAAAATTCCACCGGGAGCCACCTTAAATGGCACGTCCAGACAGAATCTTCTATATAAGGACTTATTTGACGCCTTTTTCGCAACTTCGAGGACCAAGCTGACCCTTTACTCATTTGAAAAGTAAAATAAAGTTTATTTTGAAAAAGTGTGAAAATTACACTTGTACGTAGTACGGAGTATAAATGATGCTACAAAAAGCCACGTTCATTTTTTTTTTCTCCAGAAAACCCAGCTTAAAGTGGGTCCTTCCTCAGTTCATTTATGCTACCACTCTAACGCGTAGGCAGTCAGGCAGGAATCTGCACAACTGTTTCTGCTCTCTTCCGATTCTAATCATCATATTCTGTTATTTTTTGCCCAATTCTACCAACCCTTCGATTTTTCCATCCATAGCTCACTCGCTTTCCCTCCTCCCGGGCAGAGCAATGCTGCCGTACGCCACCATCCAAGAGGCGGAATTCGCCCTCCAACGACCCCTCACGGCGGCGGAGACTCTCTGGTTCAACTACACTGCCACCAAATCGGACTACTTCCTCTACTGCCACACCATCCTCTTCCTCTTCCTCATCTTCTCCGTCGTCCCGCTCTACTACCTCTTCCTCGAATTTTTCCTCAAAAACTCCGTCCATTGCTACAAGATTCAGCCTAAAGTCAATCTCACCCTCGCCGAGGCCTTCAGCTGCTACAAATCCGTCATGCGCATGTTCGTCTTCGTCGTTGGCCCTCTCCAGCTCCTGTCTTATCCGTCTGTCAAAGTACTCTCTCCTCTGGTGTTTGTTGCTTTCCAAATATTTGATCATTCTATGGAATGTATTGCTTGATTAATTGTGTTTGTGTTAATTGTTATTTTGTGGATCATCAAGATGGTCGGGATCAGGACAAGCTTGCCCCTTCCTTCGATCTGGGAAATTGTGTCCCAATTGGCAGTGTATTTCTTAGTGGAGGATTACGCCAATTATTGGATTCACAGGCTTTTGCATTGCAAATGGGGGTACGATAAGATTCACAAGGTTCACCACGACTACTCAGCTCCTATAGGATTTGCAGCGCCATATGCACACTGGGCGGAGATTTTGATCCTCGGGATTCCATCTTTTCTTGGGCCGGCCATGGTTCCAGGTCACATGATTACCTTTTGGTTGTGGATTGGGCTGAGACAGATTGAGGCAATTGAGACGCACAGTGGGTACGCATGCATTATCTTTCCTTTTCTTTTGTTTGACAATATGACACTGTACAGTAAAGAGATGCCCCTTCTATCACTCAAGAGTCACCCTTTTTGTTTCTTTTGTGCTTTGGCAACTTTGGTGATGCGCCTTTTAAATCTGGTTCTCATTTCTAAATTCTCACATTGTGTGTGTCTTTGTGTAGTTCAAAATAGGGAGCTAACATGCTGTCTCCTTTGTTTTTTTAATATTATCCTTGTTTAATTTCACTTCAATATTTGCAAATGATATCAATGTATATGTAAGTTATAAGTAGTTAACTACTGCCTCCGCCCCACAAAGAGTTGTAATTTTTTACTTTTTGTTGGTATAATATAAAATGTCAAAAGTATGTCCACTGATACAGTTTTATACAAAAATGAAATATTATGAACATGTTCTTTGTTCAAAATACTCTTATAAGAGTACAAAATTTATACGTAGTATATTTCATTCGAAAATATTGATTAAAAGAACTGCTCAACATTTTTTTTTATCAAAAAAGTCAAATATGGAAAATTGTTGTGGGAAGGTCTTTTTCAACCCAGCTTATCTTCGGTTGATGAGCTCCTTAGAAGCATCTCAAAAAAGTCAATTATGGCAAATTGTTGTGGGAAGGTCTTTTTCAACCCAGCTTATCTTCGGTTGATGAGCTCCTTAGAAGCATCTTAAAAGTTAGCATTACCACTGTTGAGAAATGCTTTTTGTACACCTACACTATCTTTTGTCCATATAGACATGCTATAGTGGTCATAGACATGAGCAATATAACATCTCGATGAGAACAAAGATGTTGTTGGTGTAATCTTTGGTGTACAAAAAGCAAAGCGTCCATTGTTTATTTATTATCCTATCAACATGTTACATACACTTCAGAATTCAATACATGTTAATTATATAATTGGAATATCGGCAGCCCCATGAGCGAGACATATCATGGTGTAAGGTGTTTTGTATCTGAAGAAATTTATGTCCAGGACTTATAAAATGTTGAACATATGTGACTCTTGTTGATTACCTACCTCAACATTAATTAAATAAGCCGAGTTTTAACTTCTACCTCAACATCAAGATATGAATCAGAAATATTAAAATCACGCCTAAGAACATGGTACTGCCCCGAGACGGGAAGAACGGGATATTCCTTCATGGCCGGCTCCTCCTCCTTGAAGGCCATTAGTTCAACTGCCTTAAAACTCAATGCCCTTATCATGGAGAAATTATAGTGCAAAATGTCCTGATAGTGGTCTATTTTGAGGGATCAGAGCGTAGGCTTGAAAAAGTATTGGTTGGGACTTTTGATAGGTTGCTGAGGAGAATTTTTAGGATCACTAGAGTGGCAGATATTTTGTGATTTAGTGATTTAAGATGAATGTGTAGTAGAACTAAAAACGGCAGTGTTCCAAGCGGGTGTAGTGACTATTGAAGATAAGGTAAAGACATTTGGCCAGGCATGTTTGCCATTAAGCATGGTGTCTTGGAACGCTGGAGACCTAAAGAAGAGTTGTGGTGTGCCAAAAATG